CCTAGTAGCGTCTCTCCACCAGCTGTGACAACCAACTGTGTCTCCAGTCATTGCCTGGTGTCCCCTGCAGACCAACGTTGAACCACTGGGTTAGATACTACCCAGGTCAGGGGCGGTGCCCAGTTGGGCCAGACCGCGTCTCCGCTCCCTCTCCCCAGACCGCGTCCCACACAGGACTTCGGGGAGGCCTCTGGCACCTACAGAAGGCAGTTAGGAGAAGCACCCAGTGCACTGCTGTGTTCGCTGCGAGGATGTTGCTGAGAGTGTCGGTCTCTGCGGTGCGTGTGAGGTGACTGCCCCGACAGCATTCCCCCAAGACCTGCTTCCTGGTCTCATCAGTTCTTCCCACTCTCGCTGTGCTTGTAGAGAAAGGGGGTCCTGTGAAGCTCATTGCTTATCTTGACAACAGTAGTCATCTTCAGCATCGTTGTAGCTGCTGTTTACTGAGCACTGGCTTGCAGCCAGGCTCTGTGCTCAGGGCTTGGTATCCACTGTCTCATTTAATTCTTGTGACAGCCCTCGGAGGCGGAGACTCTTATTACTCGCAGTGTAGAGACGGGTAACAAAGGCTCAGAGAGATGAAGTCCCTTGTTAGTAAGTGACAAAATCAGGATTCAAAACCCAGGTCTGAAGTCTGGAAAAGGTCGGTGGGTTGTAGCAAAGTCAGTTTCCCAGTTGTGATAATGGACCCTAGTTACACGCAGTGTCACCAGAGGGAGAAACGGGGTTGGGGGGAGTCCGTGGATCTCCCCGTATTATTTCTTGGCACTGTAAGTCAATCTACAATTAGCTCAAGTTTTTAAAAATTTAAAAAAAACAAACAACAACAAAAAAAACAGGTCTGCCCTGCTCTAGGAGCTGACCTCTGAACTGTTTTTTTCTAGACTGGTCATATTTCCCTTTTCGTGCTTGCTGCCAGGAAGTTCAGAACAAAATGTGTACCCTCTGTCTAGCAAGTGTGTAGGGCTTCCTGGCCACACGTCTGGCTCTTTCTGTCCTTCCTGCTCTTGTTTTCTCTTTGCCTTATTTGAAATTGCACTCATTTTGTTGTACTGTGAGTATCTTCAAAACTTCTTCAGCACTTTATGGAATAAAGTAGGGTTTAAACCAGTGAGGCATCGCAGTTTGAGCTGGCACTATGGACATTTGTGTCCCCATCAGGCCGGGGTGCTCTCCGCCTTTGCACTTAGTATCACATTACCCTACCCCCTCCACTTAAAGGGAGAAAGGCAAGTTTTAATTAAAAAGAATTTTCATTGTTACCTAGAATCTCATCTTAAATCCACCATCTCTTCCCTTAGCTCCATTACCATCTCAGAAGTAGTGAAGGAGCCAAGAAAGGCTGAGGTACCGAGAGGCGTCCTGGAGGATGATGGTGAGCGGTTATGCTTTCCTTTATTAAGCGCCTCCCGTGAGTCTGGAGCTGGGAAATACGTTTTTGGCATTTTATCTTCTTTCATCCCTGCAGCCCCTGTCCGAGGCATGTATTATGGTGATCCTGTTCACAGGGGGGAATCGTGAGGGGACTGGATCTCTGAGGAATGCAGACACTGGCCCGAGGTGACCCTAAGCAGGAGCGCCTAGCCACTGCACCCTGCAGCCTCTCCCACATGGGTCTCTGTCCCCTGCCCAGCTCATTAGCCACTCTGCGAGCTGCCTTAGGCGGGAGGCTCAGCTGCTGATTCCCTGAAGCCTCTGAGGGCTTGCTGACTTGATTCGGCAGCCGGCATCCCCTCAAGCACCCCATCCTCTCACTGCAGCAGGTAGCAAGTGTGCCTCTCATCCCACGAGGCACCGTTTTGTAGTTAGACAGGAGCGATGCCCGCTGGACTGGGAGCTCCTTGAGGGCAGAGACGGGGCAGCCTCGGCCCCTGGGGTGCCCCGGGCGGTGCTGACTCCGCCCCTGTGGGTTGCAGGCTTCCGCCTTTTCTTCACGTCCATCCCTGGAGGCCCTGAGAAGGAAGCTCCTCCCCAGCCCCGCCGGAAACGGTTGCCTTCCAGCTCCAGGTGAGATGGCACACCCACTCCTCCAGTTCCCTCGTTGTTGCCTGTGTTCTGTCTTGGCCAGTCCCCCTGCCCCCGAAATAACCAGGCCAACTCCAGTAAGGTCCAGGCCCAGAAGGAGCCCTGTCAGTAGCTGGGGAAATAGTACCTCAGTGGGCGGGGGAAGAGTTTCCACTGGCCGTTGGCTTTGGATGTTTACTGCTTTTCGAGCACCCGTCTTGTGCCGGACACTGCACTCCTGGGACATCCCTGTGAGGCCTGGGCTCTGTTAAGATCCCCAATTTATAGATGAAGACACTGAGGGTCAGAGAGGTTAAGTCACAATGTGAGGTCACACAGCCGTGAAGCAGAGAAGCCAGTATTGGAACCCAGCTCTGCCTCACTGCCAAGCCTGAGTTCTCCAACTGCCACCCTCTGTCTGTGGCCACTCTCTGGTGGCTTGGACAGAGGCAGCGAGAGGTGGCTTTGGGGCCCCGTCCTGACTCCAGCTGACCCGGCCTGCACTCCCGTTGCAGCAGCGAGGACGGCGACGAGTTGCAGCGCTGCCGGGAGGCGGCTGTGTCAGCCTCTGACATCATCCAGGAGTCCGCCATCCACGGCCCTGGCAACATGGAGAAAAAGGCAAAGAAGAAGAAAAGGAAGTGGAAAAAGAAAGCCAAGGAGGACAACACCAACCTCGCCCCAGCGGCCACCACCGCAAGCAAGACCGCATCTGGGGAGCAGGGAAGGGAGTCCGCCGGGCTCAACGGAGACCAGGCACTGTTTGGGACCAAAAAGAAGAAAAGGAAGAAAAAGGCAAAGAGGGCCAGTGAGACCTCCCCGTCCCCGCCAGCAAAAAGCGCAGCAGCTGTGCCTGCAAACTGAGCCCCGCCTGTGAGCACGGGGCCCAGCTCAGGCAGCTACGGGGGACAAGGCATGTCCAAGCTCCGCCTCCCTCTCCAAGTGCAAGGACTTGGCTAGCAAGTCTAGACGTCGCCCATGACTGGGGCTGGCCCAAGGGTCGGGGCAAAGAAGCGGTTGTAGGGCGAGCAAGGCCTGCCCTTCTGTGCTCCCACTGGGGCTGGGGCAGACCCGTGGTACCAGAACATTCTGTGGTCTCAGGAAGAAGGAGGAGCCTCCCAGTCATTGAAGGCTGATGGCCAAGTGGTAGAGCTTCCGCCTCCTCAGCCTGGTGTGGGACATGACCTGAAGAAAACGAGGGAGGGTGTCTCCGAGATGCCAAGCCCCAGGAGGAGTTTTGTGCATCTCCCTCCAAGCCACACAGACCTGATATAACATTGTCTGGAAAAGGAGAGAGATCCCTGCCTCCACCTGGTTTTCCAGAATTTTCTTTCTTCACATTGTGAATACACCATGCATGATCATGTCTCTGAGCCAACTGGATAATTGAAAATAAATTGTCGAGGGACCCAGAATGTAACAGAGGGATTTGGGTGCCGCCCTCGTGTCTGTGCTGAATCCTGATGAGCCACTATAAGTAAGCATCACACAGGAGGGGTCCTGCCTACACCCCCAGAAGTGTTCCCCTACCCCAGCGTCAAGACTTCAGGAAGTGTCACAGCACTCGTGGCCTGGGGGATTCGTGGACCCATGTATCCTGCAAGAAGGAGCAGAAGTTCAAGGTGAAGGTGAAGTGCTGGCTTCGTTGCCTGGCCTTGGAGATTCGGCAAAGCAAGGAAGACAGAGGTGGGATGTGAGAGCATGTGTGCCGGCCCCATCCCTCCTTGGGCTCCTGGTCTCCTTCCGTCCCCCCGAGCCTGCCCAATCCCATCTGGGCAATGTGTGGACAAGCAAGACGTTTCAACATGTTCCTCATTTACTTTACTAAGAGTTAAATAAATGTACAGGCTCGCCCTTAGCCAGCTGCAAGCTGCAGGGGATGCCAGTTCCCACCGGCTCCTTCCTCAATCCAGGATGGAGGCAGTCCACTAGGGCTGGGTTGTCTGCAGCAGCCCCAGGGAGATGAGCCCTTGGTTGGCATGGCTCCCTTGTCCCTCAGGACCTCAGCCTCCCCGGGGTGGGGGTCTGTGAACGCCTCCCCTCAGCTGGGCGCCAAGCTTCCAGGCGGCAACCTCTCCTCTGGTCTCGCCTCTCTTCTCCCTCTGGGCCCCTCAGCTCTGCCAGCTGCCCCGGCCTTACCGCCTTCTGAGCTCAGCAGCTTCTCCCCCAAAGCAGGGAAGGGTCTGCTGCCCCCCGACCTTGACTTGGCACCAGGCATAGAGTCATGAGTCTCCCATAGGAGCAGGGACAACACCTAGGCCTGCGGGAGTGGGGGGCTTTCCAGTAGAGGTGAGATGTCAGGCTGACATCAGAAGGTGTGATGCGCAGGGGGACAGATGTCCAAGAAAACGGGAGGTCATGGCAGCCGGGGAGAGGGATGGCTCAGGATGAGGGAAGCTGGGGAGGCCTGCTTGCCCCAGGCCCTGGCACAGAGGAGCCACTCAGGCGATGCTTATGTGAGGGGGGACAGGTGGGTCCAAATGCGTGTGCGGGTTAAAAGCAGGAAGGGGGGCTGGGTGGAGTGGCCTGATTGGGGCACAGGTGACAGAATGGGGCCACATTGACCTGTGACCTCTCTCCCAGCTACACAGGCTGGTGTCCTGAGAAGTGTGGCCGGCAGTTCCCTGCGGGGTGCCAGGGATCTCCACAGGCCCGGCCTGGGGGTACCAGCGTCCAAGGCTGCCCCCTTCCGTTCCAAGTGACAAGATTTACCCTGAGCAGCAGGGACAGTCCCTCCCGAGTCCCACCAGGAACAAGCTCTGCTTCCAAGCTCTGCACGGTTCCCTCTTGTGCACTGAAGCAGCCCTCCTCGGGTTGGGGCGCCTCGGAGCACCCCCTTTTTCTGAGGGGAACAGGGTGGGGACTGAGGCACAGTTTTCCAGGGAAGAGCAGCAGCCTGGGGGCAGTGAAAGTTTTGCAGGCTCAAATGTCTTGGTCACCCCTCCAGCAGGCTGTGTAGGCTCCAGGGCCCATCCCCTGGGAGGCCGTGTCCATGGTTACTGGGAGGAAGAGGCCATCTGCGTGGAGATGAAGGTCTCAATGACGCTGTGGTTGGATGGCAGCAGGTGGCTATGGCCGTTGGTGGAGTCGGAGCTCTGGTACAACACCAGGCTGCTGGAGGACACTGCAGAAGCAGAGGAGGCCGCTGGCTGCCTGCCACGCCCGTCCCGACCCCTCCCCGCCCACCATCCCTAAGGGGTGCTCGGGATGGGAAAGTGGCACCTCGCCACCTCCTGAATCTCAGCAGGTGACCGGACCCCAGAGTCACACCTCTGCCCTCGGGCCTTGTTAACCCCCTGCCAGGCTCCAGGGCCGCGAGGGAGTGGCCTTCCCAGCACATTTTAGTGGGAACATCACAGAAGCGCTGGTGAGCTGGTGTTGTGGTTAGTTTTATGCGTTAGCTCGCCTGCCTTTTAGTACCCAGTCATTGAGCCAAACCCCAGCGCAGGCGTTGCTGTGCAGGTATTTTGTAATGTGGTTAACACCTACGTCAGTTGACTTTAAGTAAAGGAGAGTTCCCTTGATAATGTGGGTGGCCCTCATCCAATCAGTTGAAGGCCTCAAGAGCAAAGGCTCACAGTCGTATCAGCCAGTTCCTTAAATATATGTGTGTGTGTGTGTGTATTCCTATTGGTTCTGCGTCTCAGGAGAACCCTCAAGAGAGCATGAATGGGCTTTGAGTTTGGACCTGGGTTCAGGTCCTGGCCCCACTACCTAGTGGCTGTTGGAAGCGCTACCAAGTCCCTCTCCTCCTTGAGTGCTTTCTCATCTGTAAAACGGGGATGCCAACACACATCTCATGGGTAGAGCACAGAGCCTGGACCGTGGAGCCCTCAGTGACTGTCCCTATAGCCACCAGGGCTGGATGGAGGATGCTGAAGCTCACACTTAGCAAGTGGCTGCCCTGGGTCTCAAAGCCCGGCAGCCTGACTCCAAAGTGCCTGCTCTTCACCCTGACGTTGTGGGCTGCAGACTCAGGTCTTCAGGGAATGGAAATGTGTGGGTTGGGTGGGACGTGGTGGGCTGGAGAGCCCGCACTCTGTGGTTGCCACGGGGCAACACGAGTCCTTCCGACTTTGCAAGAGGAGCCAGAAGTCTATGAAAGCTCTTAATTTTTAGCTGTTGGCAACGAATTCAAAAAAATGCTAAACCCTGAGCTAAAGCAACACATCCATGAGTCACTTCTGGTCCCCAGCAAGCCCAGTTCTTACCTCCTGATTACCCCCTACCACCTCTTCCGGTTATCTTTTTCCTCAACTGAGTTAATAGATGTTCTTGTGAGACAGGCCCATTTCCTGTGGTTTCACACCCCCCTCGGCTCACTTCAGGGGAGCACAGGTGCCCCCTCGCATTTACCCCTTCCCTGCCCCCCATCTGCTGCCCACGACTTCCTCCCCAGCTATGGGGACGGTGGGGGGGGGGGCAGGGAAAGGCCACTCACCAGTGGGGCTGGCGCTGAGCCGATGGGTGGGCTGCAGGTGCTGGATGCCAGCAGGGTCCTGGCTGGGGATGTGGATGGTGGCAGCCTGGGACGCTGGTGTGTGAAGCCCGGACTCACTGGAGGCCTCAGCGTCTGAGGTGAAGACCTGGCAGAAGGGCAGCTCTTGAGCCCCCAGGGTGTGCGCTGGGGCAGGACCCAGGGAGGGGCCGGGGCAGGCCTGGGCCTTACCTGCTTGGTGGGCGTGAGGCTGGCCAGGGCGCTCAGGTTGGTGGTGTCGGTGATGAGCATGGTCTGCGGAAGCAGGCCCGTGTGGGTGTACTGGGCCACCTCGGGCTTGTGGCTGTAGAGGGCTGGCCGGGAGGGAGGGAGAAGAGAGGAGGACACAGACTTGGCACCTGGGCTGGGCTGGACCCCTCCCAGGAGGGCCTCAAGGTGGGGGGCTCGGGGAAATTGGGGTGTGGGCCTGGTGAGCAGCCCAGTGGGGCAGTGGCTGGGGACTCAGGGCTGATTTCCAAAACTGGGAGCTCCAGGTAGAGGGGTTGGACGTTCTCCCCAACCGCAGGGGCCTGCTCCACCTGTCTCGGTGGAGAGGAGCCTGGGCGAGGCCGGGAACCCAAACCCAGCTCCTGCGGTCACCTCGAGAGGACAGGTGTGAAGGGCAACGGGAGGCACAGGTGCTGTTAGGGCACTAAGTACCGGCCTTGGAGGGAAAGGCCAGGGCTCCTGTTAGGGGTTGAGGAGGGGGCAGCATTTCTGCATCTCCAGGACCCCTCTCCACAGTCTAACCCAGAATTTCACCTGCAGTCTCCAGCCCCACAAATACAGACACACATGCCAGTAGAAAACAACATAAATCACGTATTCTCACATGGACTCAGATGAAAACACAACCACCCACATACACGCATAAATGGTGCCCTCAACCAAATACACAGATGTTCAAGTCCACAGGCCCTCATCCAAGAGCCCAAGTTCCAGAAAGGTCTGAGAGCCAACAGGTTTTTGTCTGGTTGGCACTAGAGCTCATTTGGTGGCAAAATCTGACCTGAACCTGATGTGAGGCTGAGTCTTTATTAACCCACTTCGTGGAATTCTACCTTTTGCTGCAGGAATCATGGTGTTTGATGACAGGGTGTTGCCCCAAGCCCTGCTGGGAGTGTTGTGTCATTCATGGTGTATGCACCTTTCTAAAAGCTGAGAAATACATATGGCCCCAAGGGCACACGTGCGTGTGCACATACAAACACCCACTCACACAAACCCATGTGCGTGCACACGCAGCCACATGGGTTCACACACTGAAACGTATTCCAGCCCACAGACGCTCACCTGAGCACCCGCAGAGCCCCCGTCACAGAAGCATTCACACTTGAATCAGACACACACACAGACCACAGCATCTGCTAAGACGTCCTCTTCCCCTGGGCTCAACGACAGCCAGTCTCTCCCACCGCCTCCCCCAGCAGGGGGGCTGAGGGGTGCTCACCATGGGGGCTCTGCAGCTGGGCCATGGTGGCCATGAAGGGGCTCTGGGCCACGTGGCTCTGCACGGAGGGCATGAGCGGCTGCTGGTAGGAAGGGTGCAGAGGCTGCGAGAACTGGACGGGCTGCAGGGTAGTCAGGCTGCTGCCCATGCTGTTGATGACCGGCACGCTCTGTGCCTGCGTGGAGGCCAGGCCTGGAGCGGGAGGGGCAGGAGTCAGCCAGACCTCCTGCCGCCTCCATGGCCTCCCCAGGCCCAGCCCTGACCCCCAAGGGCACCATCCCTCCCTCCTAGGGCCAGTGGGTAGGAGGGGGGGACAAGGTAACCAGGTAACAGCCTTGTACTAGGAACCTTCACTAAGTTACAGCCCTGGCAAGTTAACTCCCTCTCTGAGCTGCTAGCTCGTCATAAGGGCAGGGGGTGTGTCAAACTAGGGTCCCTGGAGCCCTGGGGTTCCACAACGATGCAAAGGCCCTGGGGCTTAACTCTCTGTACCCGGCTCCCAGCAGCTCCCTGTCTGTCTTATATATTGAGTTTCTGCATAATGGTTCTGAATAAAGTTTTTCTGGGCTTTTTTAAAACAAACTAAAACCTAAAACCTAGAAAACTTCAGTTCCCCTTGCTCTGCTCTGTTTTCCCATAGCTGTTTTCCCTTTTAAGGTACTATATAACTTATGTATTGGATTGGCCAAAAAGTTCGTTCGGGGCTTTCTGTAAGCTGTTGGGAAAAACCTGAACCAACTTTTTGGCCAACCCATATTCTGCTTATTGTCTGCCTCCCCACTTGGGTGGCTGAGATTTGGGGCTGTTCGGTCCACTTGTGTATCACCGGTGGAGCACGGAGTGGGCACTCAATAAATACATGAAGGAATGAGTCCCAGTGGTTCATCCTGCTCCTGGATTCTGTGGGAGCCCCATGAGCCCCTCACCCAGATACCCCCGTCCACCCCACCAGCTTACCAATGACCAGGGTGGAGGCGCCCGTGTTGGTAAACGTGGGGCCCAGGGAGGCAGGCTCACCAGGCCCTATGGCCATGACCCCGGGAAGCGAGGCCATGATGAGGTTCTGGGGCTGCTGGTTGAGGCCCGGGGATGTCTGCTCCAAGCTGTGCAGTGCTGTCAGGGTGCTGACAGGGGGCAGGGGGCCCCCAGTGGCCGAGACCTTGGAGGGGAAGCCAAACTGAGTCAGGTGGGGTCCCACCCTACCTCCCTGGGGACTGCTCCAGAATCTTCCAGCCAAGGGGAGATTGGCGGGGGGGGGGGGGTGGGGGAGAGATGGGGCGGGACACTCACCAATTTGGCTTCTGTGCTCAGCAGACTGTGACTGGGCTCCAGACCCGTGGGGGACACTTGATGCAGGGGTGCAGACACTGTCACCAAGGGACCACCACTGCTTGAGGGCACTTCCGCCCCCTCACTGGTTGCAGGCTGTCCATAGCGCACTCCTGGAGCGGGAGCAGTGTCCAGCCTCAGCACCCCACTTCCCTGCCCGCCTCCATGGCCCCCATCATTCCAAACTGCGTTGGTTTGCGCAGACCCCCCACCCCATCTTTATGCAGACTTTGCTTGAGTGTCCACTTCCTGCCAGGCCCTGTGCTGGTTGCTTCCAACTCCTTGAACACAAGTAGGTGCTCAATAAAAGACAACTGAGCCAGGGACTTCCCTGGCAGTCCAGTGGTTAAGACTCTGCGCTCCCACTGCAGGGGTCACGGGGTTTGATCCCTGGTCGGGGTAAGATTCCGCATGCCATGCAGTGCAGTGTGGCCAAAAAAAAAGACAACTGAGCCAAACTGAATTGACGGTAATGAAATTAAACCACAGCAAACTTGAGTTGAATAGAATGATTTGGAATTAGTTGAATGAAACTGAGTATCATTGAATCAAACCAGAAATGAATTGAGTTTGATTGAGTCAAATTGAATCGAATTGGATTGAAATTGAACTGATAGAAAATTCACTGAATTTCCTTGAAATGCATTTAGTTAAACTGAATCAATTGGGAATTGGATTGGATCAAACTATTCCAAATTTAAATGAACTAAATTAGATTATAATGAGTTGAACTGAATTGAATTGAATTGAACTGAGCTGAAATGAATTGAGTTGGTTTGATCTGGAATGAGTTGAAGTAACTGAAAGCAAGTGAGGGTGGAGTGGATGGAATGGAGTACAGTGGGCGAAGCTGAGTGGTCAATGGAATGGAGAGGAGTGGAGTGGAGAGAACAGTGCAAATAGAGTGGGGTTGGAGCTGTAAGGAAGTGCTAAGAGGTTTGGGTGGCTGCTGCCACTGGGGTGGTGCTCCCCAACTCTCCCACCCACCCCCATATTCCCTCTACCCACCGTCCCAATCCCCCTGCCCACATGGCACTCACCGTGGACCTTACCAGGGGAGAGGGCCGGTGGGGGCAGGCCAGGGGAGCCGTGGGCAGGCAGCGCAGGGCCTGGGCCTGGCCCTGGTGGCGGCCCGCTGTACGTGTCCATAGCCAGCTTGTGCCGAAAGGCTTCTTCCTTGCGCCGATTGGCAAACCAGTTGTAGACGCGCACCTCTGTGACGAGGTTGGAGCCCAGCCCCTGCGCCTGTGAGGGTGACACCCCCCTCTGGATGCACTCCGCCCTGCAGAAATGGCCACTCATGAGCCTCTGGATCAGGCACAGAAGAACCCTCCCCTGGGGCTGGGGGGAGAGTTCTGAGAAGTAGGGCTCTACCTGAGTATTTGCTGAGGCTGGCAGACCTGGGTTCCGAGCCCAGTCTGCTGTGCAACCTTGAGCAAGTGACTTAGCCTCTCTTAATCTCTTCAGTTATAGAGTGAGCCCAGTAAGTGTAGGGTTGTAGTGAGGATGAGTGAGACGAGCAGCCACTCAAGGGCTGCTTGGGTCGGTGGCGGGGTGGGTGCCAGGAATGGAGCTAGGTGTCAGACACTGAACAGGAGCTGAGAACTCCTGGGCCAACAGCAGGAGCTCTCAAAACCTGGGGAGCCTCCCTCAGGACCCAGAGCCCCCCTCGCCTTCCCCCAGCCCAGACCAAACCAGCCCTGCTGACCACCAGCCATTCTACCTGTTACACTCCTCCACCAGCGCCTCCCGCTCCTCCTTGCTGGGGTTCTTCTGCCTCTCATAGGCCTGGAACAGGATCTGCTGGGATGCTGGGCCCCATTTGAAACGGTTTCTCCGACCCTTCTTGGTTGGTAGCTCATCGCCCGTGGGCTCTTCAATCAGCCCACCCTGCCCTGCGTGGGTGAACTCTGTGGGCACAGAGAGCCATTAGCAAAACACTGGCCAATCCCACCTTCCAGCATTGGTTCACCATGCTGGAATTGGTTCACCTAACCATGCCCGTGGTTCTTTCTCATTCCTAGGATGCTGAGCCAGAGGAGCTTACAGCTAGAACTTAGAAATCATCTAATCCAGTGATGACAGACACACAGCACACACACCACCCCTTTCCTAACCTGTGTCCAAGGGAGACATCACTAATCAACCCCTGCGTACTTTGCTACCGGGCCAAGATATAATCTCACAGTCCTCAATACAAGGCTCCAGGTAAGCATCAGCATTTGTTCACATTTGACACATATGCCATCCCATTTTATAGATGAGGCATCTGAGGATCAGGGAGGTTAAATATGTTTCCAGGGTCGCACAGTAGAGCAGAAACTTGAACTGTATCTCCCGAGTAGATTCCGCGCTATTTTCAACATTGCAGACTTGAAAATCAAGCTTAAAGTATAAGTATTAGCCAGGAGAGAAGAGACCCAGACACTTTCTCAGCTGGTTCTTTGGCAGGAGGCCAGTTAATGGCGCCTCCAAATAACAGAACAGCTAGTAGCCCTTCAAAGAGCAGGGGAAATATGTATATGGCCAGTATATACATACAGTACCCCTGGAAGGTTACGTATGAGACCAGGAATGCCAGTGGCTGCCTTAGGAGAAGGACACCTAATTTTTGTTGTAAAATCTTTACTTCTATTTTTTTATAAATTCAGTGTGTATTACCTTGAAAACCTGGATAATTATAAAAGAAACATCAAAAAGATTTTTTTTTTTACACTTAGGCTCAAAAGTGTGGAAGTGCACTTAGGATTTTGTGGGGTATGAGGACCGGGTTCCCTAAGCACACACCTCACCTCGGAGCCTCTACTGCCCTTCCTTCTGCCTGAAACCCCATCCCTGCATCTTCATGGGTCAAAATTCAACTCACACTTTAAGACTTAGTCAAAAGATCATACTTCTAGTTGATCCTTCCTGATGCCCCTGCCTCCCTGAGGAAGAGGTTATTCTCTCCTCCTCCACCAGCTCAACCTTGGAAGCACTTTCTGTAGTGCCCTGCCCTGGGCCTGGCGCACGGTGACTGCTCCATAAACTCTAGCTTTTGTTGCTGGCGTTATCACATTATAATACTTGTCTCACCGAATCATAATGATTTGTACTCCTGCTTCCCCTCTACGCAGGGAGCTCTTGGAAGGCAGGGGCCCAGTTCACCCACCCAAAGAGGATGCCCAGACCAACCCTCCTCCCCTCCCCCAGAGCGCCTTGCGCAGAACAGCTGATACATGCTGGTTGAATCCTCCCGACTTCCTCTCAGTCTGCCTGTCCGAGGAATGGGGTGGGAGGCTTCCAGCTTCCACCCTCGAGCTGCGGGTAGTCCCAGGCCCTGCCGGGAAGACAGGGCTGCAGTCGGTTATTACTTACGCTGGGCCACCTCTCGCTGCTTGCGGACATACCAGGTGTACAGGGCGGCTCGCTTCTGTGTCTTCATGGGGGTGCCCTTGTTGAGGTGCTGGGACAGGTGAGATTGGTTGAGGCCGGTGGTGTCGACCACCTCCCGCTGCGGGATGTTGTGCTGCTGCAGGTAGGACTTGACCATCTTAGCCACACGCCATGGGTCCTCCCTGGGGGTGGAGGCAGGGGGACAAGGACAGCCTGCTCAGCCCAGGGTGTGTGCTGGGAGCCCTGTCTGCCTGGGGGGTGAGGATGGTAGATGGAAGCAGGCGCGGAGCCCAGGAGCCTGTACCTAGACTCAGGGACAGGAGGTATGGGCACTCATGCCAGGACACAAGGACATGGGGACAGAGACTTGCAGACACATACACATGGCAGACATGTGGACACAGGCCCCAACCAGTCCCACACAGACATAGGAACAGATAAAGGTTTCGAAACACAGAGACATGGATACAGATGTAGACAAGAACAGACTCCCCCGGGAAGCTGCACAAGCCAGATGGGGAGGGCACTCATCTTCGTGTCTCCTTTAAAGATTCCCCCCCGCAATTCTACCTAGAAATGTTATTTGTGGCTGTGTCTTAACCACTGTGATAGACTATAACACCTGGAGGGCAGGAACTGTCTGGTTCTCAGCACCCAAAATAGGCCTGACATAGAGTGTGCCCTTGGTGAAGGCATGAATGAATGAGTGGATGTGTGGATGGATGGATGGATGGGTGGGTAATGGGATGGTCAGTGCATTGATGGTGGATGGTGGGTGAGAGGATGGATGGATGGATGGATAGATGGGATGTTGATGGGTAGATGTTAGATGGATGGGTGGATGGGTGAGTGGATGGATGGATAGATGAGAGAGATCTACTGGAAAAAAATTTGGGTCTGAAAATGAGAGAAACATGATTCTCCCACATTACATCCAGGGCCACTGAGGCTCAGAGCACTGTGTCACTTGTATCTCTTGCCGAAGGTCACAGGGTTAGCCCAGTAGTGTCCCACCCCAGCTTAAAGGATTTGGTTCTAAGTCAGTCTGTCAGATAAAAATCACATAGCATCAAAACGCCTCCTGAAAATCTGCACTAAACCCTAGATGGTGACGCAGCCAGTCTCCCCACAGCACTGAGGCGGGTGGCTAATTTCTCAACAGAGTCCCAGGTGAAGGGGTTAGGGGCTGGCATCCCAAGGCCTTGTAAGAAAAATGAGCATGTCTGAGCACGGAATCCCACTCTGTGGGCTCAGTTCTCTCACTCGAGGGATTCAAGGGGACCTGAGGCCACCTGTGGCTCAATCTCCTGTTCTCCGCTCACTGTGGGGAATGGAAGGGGTCAGGTTGCCTGTACGATAGAAATTCTTCTCTCTCCCTCTTCTGCTCTGTCTCAACCCTCCTCTCTTCCCTTCATCCTCCCTTGAGCTTCTATTACAACCATGTGTCAGATACAACAGTGCTGAAACAGGCAGAGCTGGGATTTAAACCCAGGTCTGTGTGATCCTAAGCCTGTGTCCCCACAGCCTTGATGCAGCAGTTTGCTTCTAGAATTGAGGCATATGTGACAAATGGCATGTGTAGGAAGTGATTCATCTCCATGTCGTTTGCCACAGCCAAAGATTGGAAACAACCTAAGCGTCCAGCAAAAGGATGCTGATTAACCAAATTGCATGCCTCTGTACAATGCAGCCATAAAAACCCACTGAGAAAGCTCTGTACAAGCCCAGATGGAACAGTTTGTGTGGTAGGCCTGTTGTGCTATGTGTGTAAAATTTTGAGTGGGATAAAAGAAGATTGCTACCTATTTGCTTGGTTCACATGAAATACCAGAAGTATACAGAATGAACTGGAGTCACGGATCGGTTGCTGGGGACAGGGTGAGAGGGGAGGGTTTTCTCTGTTACTCTTCTGTACTTCATAAATTATGTATCAATAATATAGTATCATATAATATGCTACATATGCATATATAATGTTTAAAAGTGAATTGTGAAAAAAAGAAAAGAAAAGAAACCCCCCAGTGCTCTGAAGCCCACCCCACACTGCCTTCTCCCCTGGCCCTTCTCTCTTTCCTCAAAGAACCAGTCTCGCCTGCGTCCTTGGCAATGCCCTTCCGAGACATGAGGGCACAGAGCCTTTCATCCACTTTGGCCCTCTGACTTCCTCCTTTTTTTATCAGCAGTTCCCATACAGGCAGGGAGGAATGGAAGGTGGGGACAGATGTAGTTGATCAGCAGTCGGTCCAGCAAAGTCCCATTTGTGTAGAAATGATAGCCGTGAGAATTCATGTTTCTTGAGTACTTATGGTGAGCCAGGTAAGGGCTGGTCATTTAAATCTTACAATAACCCTAGGAAGTATGCCCATTTCACAGGTGAGAAGACTGAGGCTCAGAAAGGTGAACACTTGTCCAAGGTGACTTCGCTGGGACTCAAGAATATTTCACTTTCCTGAACCCCCCAAACTCTCCCCAAGCCCTATCTCCCTGCTTTCATAGGAGCCTCACCTCCCCCGGTCCCCGGGTGCCAGTCAGAGCTGGGAGGGAAGGGCAGGACAAAGTCCAGCCTTGTGCTCCATGGCAAACATGTTTATCTGACTCCAGGGCTGGGCTACCCGATGGCCTCTCTCCTCCCCCAACTGCAGTCATCACCCTCCTGAGAGATCCTCCCTCCCTCTGTCTGTTCTCCAGAGAGAAGGAGCCCAGTCTTCCTTCAACAGGGCCTCTCCTGGCTCAAACTAAAGATTTACTGTCTGTCTCTGTCCTTCTGACCCCATGTGTCTCTATCTGTCTCTGTTTCTCTCACTCTCTCTCCTTCTGTCTCTGTGTCTCTCTGTTTTCTGCTCTCTTTCTCTCCCCCCCTCCCCACACACACGCACAGTCTCCAAGAATATGGCTCTTTGTAGGACATTTTCCCCAACGCAGAACTAAGAGGCCAGGTCTCCAGGCATCTCCTGCTTTCACTCTAATGGGTTTGAGAGTCGAACCAACCTGGGTTCAAATCCCACCACTGCGGCCTCGCGCCCAATGTGCATGTGGCCCGCATCTCCCCTGTAACACAGCGGGAAATTCACGCCTGCCTCCCTGTTCTCTATTGGGAGAACTGAATGAGTGTCTAATAGGACTGAAATGCTGAGGACAGGGCCAGGCACACAGTAAGTGCTCAGTAAGTGGAACAATATTGTTACCATCATCATCATCAGCAGCAACCTAGTCCTGGGACCTCCAGCCCCACAGCAGAGGGAAGAGGGCCCGGGAAAGGTGAAGGTCTGCCCACAACCCCCTCCTCCCGCCTCCTGCCAGTTCTAGGGTCAATCAGAGGTTCGAGGCTTTGGGCCTCTTGCTCCCTGGCCCGTGGGGTTTCAGTGGATCCAAGGCTTCAGAGCTGGGAGACCAGCCTGAAGGCCACTCATCCGGAGGGGGAGCTGAGTTCTCAGTGTGAATCCCAGCTCTGCCACTCACTCTCCGGGTGGCCCTGGGAAGTTTCTTAACTTCTGTGCCTCAGCTTCCTCAACTGTGATAGGGAGCTAATAATATTTCATAGGTTGCCAGGAGGAGAAAACAAGCTTAATGCACTTGTAAGCGCTTCGTGAGTCCTCGAGCACTACGCGGAAGTGGTCGATGGTGACATTAACAGCAAGAATGACCCAGGAGGGTAAAGAGGGAGATAAATGTATCAAGGACAGGCATGCCACCTCAGGGTGCTGTGCAAAGTGTGGGATTAGGAGGACCTGGGTCCAAGTCCTGGCCTTACTGCTTTGTAAGAGTTACTTTGGGCAGGTCACTTTGCCTCTCTGAGCTTTAGTTTGCTCATCTGTAAAATGGGACCACTGATAATAGCAACTGTTCGTTGCACTCACATGCTTACCCTGTGGGTAAGCGTTATGATCAGCTCTGCCTTGCAGAGAACACTGGGACTCAGAAAAGTGAAATTGCCTGCCTGAGCAGAGCTGGGGTTCAAGCCCAGGCAGGCTGGCCTCAGTTAGGGATGTCAGATTGCCCCACCTTGGCCACTGTCTTCCTGGGTCTCAGTGCCTTGGTGCTGCCCAATGGAGAGGACCAGAGACCCTCAAGATTGAGTTTGAGCTGCTCAGGGACAGGAGGGCCCAGGAGGACACTGAGGAAGGAGCCCTGGGAACGTGTTACTCCCTTGGCCATTACAGCAGACATCCCCGGGGCTCAGAGAAGCCTAGTCCCTCATTCATTCATGCTGTGTGTCAGCACTGGGGTGTATATCAGGGGTCTGAGTGGTGAACAAGCCTCTGGAAGAGCTTCTGTTGTCATAGCAGGAGATAGAAAACAGACAAGGTAATAATAGGTAATGATAAGTTTCAGGGGAAAGTCAATGGAAGTAGTGGAAGAGGGAGTGACTGTGGTGGCATTTGAGCAAAAAGAGAAGGAATTGACCGTAGGAAGATCTGGAAAGAGGGTTTCGGGGAGAAGGTACAACACATGCAAAGGCCCTGAGGTGGGAATCAGCAAAGTGTAGTGTAACTGGAGGAAAGTGAGGGAGGGAGGGAGGTCCCTCAGGAAGAGATCAGGGGATCAAGACAGGGAGTTTGAATTGTACTCATTGTCCGGGTAGGGAAACGGAGGCAGGAGGAGAAGAGACTTGCCCAAGGTCACACTTGGTCACACTTGGCTTCCACGGGAAGCCCTGCCTCTTCACCATCCTTTCCAGCCTCAACCTCCCCCACTGGCCAGGGCTTCATGGGGGTCCCCCACCCCTCTGCAGCCTGTGCCCTGAGGCTCAAGGCCCCACTTTTTCCCCTTGGGGCGTTTTCAGATCCCTTTTGTTACCTGAACAATAAGTAACCCAGGTAGTTAGTTATAAACCCCGCAGGAACAAGGAGCTGGTTGATAATTTATAGCAACATCTCAAATTTAAATGGAAAGTAAATAGCATGCTGTTAGCATTAAAGAAAACCCAATCGGGGCGGGAGGCAAGCACTCCAGCCTCCTTGCAGCTTGGGGCGCCTCGCTCTCTCCCCAGCCCATTCTCCCAGCTGCGTGTCAGCCCCTCTTCCCTCCCGGCTCTGCTGGTCCGCTCCACTCTGCTTCTCCAGGCCTCTCTCTCCATCTCCCCTGACGCCCTGTCTCTTCCTCCATGTCTCCCCTCTCTCCCTCAGCTTCCAGGTCTCTGCTGGTCCCCAGGGAGCACTTTGACCCCTGCTTCCCGCTCGAGTGCTGTGGATCAAGCCTTTCCCTCCACCCATCATCCCACCAAAGGGGCTGCTGATCAAGAGGCCCCACCCAGCCAGGTAAGGCCTTTGGCACTCCCTGCCCCCACTCCCCCCCGAAAGCCCCCAGTCCCATCTGGGGCGCTGAGCAGGTCTGGCCCTGCCCCACCCTTGTCCGGGTTGCCCTCGCCCTGGGTCTGGAGATGCCAGACTCTGCCCCTCCCCTGCAACGCGGCAGGGCCCTTTGCCCTCCTCTTCCTGCCAAGTCAGGGGGCCCTGGCTACTCCCCTGCCTCCTGCCCAGGCCCTCACAAGGCCTGGCAGGCCCTGAGAGCTCCCTGAGGCAGGGATCCAGCCCTCCCCAACCCCAAGCTGGGATCAGGACCTTGGACAGAAAAGAGGTGGTCTTTGGGACTCTTGCTCAGAACCCCCAGCCACCCCCAGCTGGCCCCTGGCCCCGGTCATGGTGACTGAGGGCACCAAAGAGAGTGGGTGTGGAGCCCCAGCTGGGTGGCCTTAGTCCAGCTCTGTCCCCCTCTGAGCCTCAGTTCCCTCATCTGCGGAGCAGTTGTCCCCAGGTGCCTCCAGAATTCATCTCAACAGTACCCGAAATGATACCTGTGAAACCTCAGCACGTGCCCATCTGGCTGTTAGGATAGACGTTACAGAGCCTTAGGGGAGGGGCAGTCCCTGCAGCCCCCAGGTTCCCCTTCCCTCACCTCCAACCTCCCCCACCCCTGCTCCGTGTGAAGTTGGTTGGCTCAGGCTTCCCCAGGCTACCAGCCCTCCAAGTTAATGATCACAGGCCTTATCAGAGCCTTTTGCCATTTATAAATTTATAAAACAAAAGAGAAATAATAAAGCCCGTGGGTAATTAGTAACCAGGTCAGCTCTGCTGAGGAGAGGGGAGGCATCGGGCTCAGACCCACCCAGTTCTCCGGGAGATGGGGAGCCAGCCAGTGGGTGGGGTACAGAGTGGGGAGGCTTCTAACGGTACCCACTGGTGAGGGGCATGGCCTGAGGCTGTGCCGGAAAGGGGAGCAGCTCCCTTCCTAAGGCTCCATTTCCCTCAGGTAAGAAAGACCTGGGTTCTGCTGGCTGAATGCTTAAGTTCCGGGGAGGCCAAGCGGGGCCCCCAAAACCCCAGCCTGGGCTCCCCCTCCCCACTGGTGCATCTGGGTGCCTAGCAGGGAAGTTGGGATTGGGGGAGTAGAAATGGGCATGGTAGCTAAAAATTCCCTGCCTCCCCACCCCCGTTGTCCAGGGACTAGAATCGTGGACTCTCGTGCTTTGTCCCCATCTTGGGGCTCCCCTGGGGCATGCCCCACTTCCCAAGCACCGGGCTGAAAGCCTTGGCTCATAGAGACTCGGGACCCTGCAGAGGGCCGGGTCAGGGGCTGCAGGCTCCAACCTCCGAGCTAGGACCCCACCCCACCCCCGCTTCCAAGCTCTAATGGGCCCTGTCGCCCTTGCCGACAACCAGCCCATGGGACTCTGGACTGGCAAGGGCTGGTCAGGAGCCGAGGCTGGGCCCCTCCGGGCTCCTTGGGAGCTGGGGACAGGGGAGGGGTCCTTACTGCAGCAGGGTCTCCACCACGGCTTTCTGGTGGGCTGCCTCCTCGGGGCTGAGGTTCTCCAGCTCTCTGAGAATGGGCGGCGTGAAGTCTTCCCCCTCGTCGTCCGTCTCGTCCTCGGAGCCCCTCGTCTCCCCCAGCCCATTGGGCAACTCGGCCAGCTCCCCTCGACCGCCGCCACCACAGGACTCCCCCTTGTCCGGGGGACCGTCTCCGGCCAGCAGGTAGGGCCCCGGCTCACCCAACGCCTGGATCAGCGCCTCTTTGCTCAGGCCTGACTCGAGCAAGGCCGCCAGGAGCTCCGTCTGCAGCTGGCTCAGTTTAGAAACCATGGCTCCACTAGCGCGGGCCACGCGACCCAGGGCCACTGAGCCGGCCGCCTCCCGCCCCCCCGGCGTGGGCTGGCTCCGTGCTGGCCGGCCAGCAGGCAGGCCCAAACCAGGCTCCTTGCGCCCGCTGCCCCCCCAAACCCCACTAGCCAAGCCCTGTGGGCACCCCCAACCCCCAACCCTGGCCCCAGTGGCCAGTGAATCAGGGCCCCTGCCCGCTCTGTTTACATTGGAGCTGGGGAAATTCTCCAAGGTTCATATTTATCCATGTGCTTAGCGAAGGGACTGAACTTTGGACTTCACCCTGCAAAGTGCAGGCCTCATGGCAGCACAGAGGGACAGGGAGCCGTGGCCTTCCATGGGAGTGGGCAGAGCGGAGGGCGGGGGAGGCAGCGGTGGGGGGCCCAGGACAGCTGGGATGGAAGGTACTGGGAGCCAGGGAGGCCTTCGGGTGACCAGCATTGGGTCCCTCCCCCAGCAACCTTGTAGGGGGCCAGGCTGAGGCAAGAGAACAACAGCCTTGGGAACAGAAGCAGCAGAGTTCTAGGCTGTCGGGTCAACTCTCCTCAAGGGCAAGACTAGGACACATCCATCTGAGGACCCCCCACTGCCAGCCCCAAAGTCTGGCCTCCCAGGAGGGAAAACGCGTCAACTAAGTCTACTGTGGGCTGGGTCTGTAACGTGCGTCATTACCTCAGTGTAGCCCCCTAACAGAGTAGGTACGGGGATTGTGCCCATTTTACAGAGGAGGAAACTGAGGCTCTGAGAGGGTAAGCAACTCGCTCAAAGTCACACAGCTAGCAGGGACAAGATTTGTGGAGTGGGAGCAGGGTGTGGCCAGTCAAGCACTTGGTGCAGGTGCAAATTTTAAGGGGATGTCAAAAAACTCAAGATGAAATCAAGATGAAAAAATATTTTTATATACTCTATTAAAAATTCAAAATTAATGCAAAACCCAGAAGAACTTAAAAGAAATGTCCACACAAAAATTTGCCTGCGAATGTTCTCAGCAGCGTGATTCACAAGAGCTAAAAAATAGAAAAAACATAAATATCCATCAGTGGATGAATGGATAGAAGAAATGTGGTCTCTCCGTGCAATGGCATGTTATTTGGCCATAAAAAGGAATGAAGTCCTGATTCATGCTACAGTAGGCATGAATCTTGAAGACATCATGCTAAGTGAAAGAAGCCAGACACAAAAGGCCACCTATTGTATGATTCCATGTGTAGGAAACGTCCAGAGCAGGCAAATCCATACAGACAGAAAGTAGATGCGTGGTTGCTGGGGGCTGGGGAGGTGGGGGTGGGCACAGGGAATGGCTGCTTAATGGGTCAGGGTTTCTTTGGAGATGGTGGAAATGTTCTAATATTGATGGGGTGATGTTACACAACTCTGTGAATTTACTAAAAACCACTGAAATTTGCAGTTTAAAAGGGCAAATTTTATGATCTATGAATCAATAAAATATACTTTTTATTAGTTTGAAAAATTAATGCCAAAAATCTGTGATGAACAAAAAATATCAAAATGTTAAATAAAGGCAGGTTCCAACCCTCACTCACCTCCTACTAATGCCAGTCCTAGGCAAAAACTCATCCCTAACCCCCACCCTTCCCTCTTCCGGTAAGAGCCTGCACAAAAATTCCTGCTGTCTGTCCCCTGGGGTGGCCCTAAGCTCCCAGAACAAGGGGTGTGCACCATTGCCTGGAGTAGGCAGGGTGGTGCTGAGGGGCTGCCCCCAGGCTGGGGCATCTCTCAGGGGTCTGCAGAGGCAGGGTCATGCTTGGCAATGGTGGAAGGGAGAAGGCGCCGTTGGCCAGAAGGCCCTCCCTGCAGGCCAGGCTAGTCCAGCAGGGGGAAAGGGGCTTCTTCATTTTTGCACTCACCTGACACACTCAGCAGCTGTGAGGCCCGTGCGGCCACTGAGCACTTGAAATGTGGCTGATGCCTCTGGCTGAAATGATAATATTTTGGATCTATTGAGTGAAAGTTTTTAATTTTAAAACTAAATACTTTAAAATTAGAAAACCTAATTTCACCTGTTTCTTTTTACTCTTATAATGGCGCCACTGGAAACTTTTGAATTACATTCGCGCCTCACATTCTATCTCTATTGGACAGCGCTGCTCTGTAATTTACTTACACGTATGATGTTTATTATTTATGGTCTGTCTGCCTCTGCTAGAGTGTCGGGTCCCCCACCCCCGCTCCAGGGCAGGGCTTTTGTCTGTCTTGTTCACTGCTGTATTCGCAGTGTTTAGTACGTTGCCTCATCCGTACTTAGTAGGTGCTCAGTAATATTTGTGGAATGAATAAATTTCATTGCACACTGCCCAACATATACTTAGCTCCACACCAGGCTTTAGTAATGTATGAAATGCTCAGAACCACTCTATGAAGTAGGCACTGTTATTCCCAGAGCCCGGCCCTCTGCACAGGATGATGCTGGCAGTTGCCCCATGAGGAAGTGGGCCCCCCACATTGCTCTCAGTGCTTCCCTTCTCCTCTAGCACAAGTAGCTTTGGGGTCAGGCAGCTCACTACTGGGGGCAGAATTCTCAAGTCCAGCTAAAGGACAGGGAAGATGCTGCATGCTGTCCCTTCGCAGTTCATGGCTCTCCTCCTTGCTACCCTGTCCAGGAGACTGCTTGCTGCCTGCAGCTGCCCTCGGAGACCTTCCTCTAGAAGACGGAGCCAGACAGGGTGGGGCCTGGGTACTTTGCACAACTTTTGGGCTCCTTGACTCCTGGGTCCCCCACCCCCACCCCCGCCCGGCAGCCAGGTGGCTGAACTGGTGACTCCGGGACTGAAGGTGGATTTAGTTGGGAGGAGAACAGTGGTGTGGGGCAGGGGGAGCCTCTAGGGTGTCTAAGGAGAGAGACCCTCAGGGTCCAACTTCAGCTCCAGTACACACAGAGGCTATTGTCCTGGCCCCCCACCCCACCCCGACTAGGGCTCCCTCTGAAAATGAGAAGGGTGTCGGTTATTGATACTTGGCAACAGACAATGGAAACGGCAATTCCAGCCCCCAGCCTGCCCTTCCCCACAATCAGGGGACACAACTAAACAGACTCAGAGGTTGGGAGAGGCATTTTGCCTTCTTGAGAATCACTCAGGACCTAGTGTGCGTTTCACGGGCCCCCCGCAAACACACTCCAGCCCCGCACTGGGTGGCCTCAGGCACTGAGTTCGCCTTTCATGACTTATTTATAAAACAGAGGTGTAAATCTCCTAGGGTTGCTTGAGACAACTTTGTACACCTAATGCAGAGATTTGTTGGGCTCTACACAACTGCTCAAACTTTGGAATTAGATTGGACATGACCACCTTCATTTCCTGTTCCACAATCATTTTTGCATGATACCACTTTTTTTTTTATTAGAACAACTGCCATAAACCCAGCTTCACAAAGTTGTGACATCATCTAACATTCAAACTGCAAACTACCTTGAGCTAGCGCAAGGTGGCCGACAGATGTCGCTGTGTTCCTTTCAAAAATCCTCGAAAATATTCTGCGGCTCCCAGGGGCACCTCGAGGCGTAGTTTGGGAACTGCGGACCTAAGGGATGGTCTTGGACACAGAGGGTGTTCAGTAAAACGTAGTTGTGAACTTTATCACCATTCTCGCCTACTGAGTGAGCAAATGTTTGCAAAACCGAAGTTCTGGCAAGGCACAAGTCTTCTCCTTGGCCTTAGGAAGCGGCGCAAGAGGGGTACCCCGTCAGCCAATCTCAGGGCTCTCTTGGAATTTAATCGCCAACCCTACCACCCCACCACCCCCACCTTGGGGCCCACCTGTATTCATACTTGGACTATTCTTCCTCCCAGCCCCACTACCTTTAACCTTTTAACCGTTTAACATTTATTGAGCAGTCGCTGGTATATGCAATTTTCATGCTTTTTCTCATTTAACATCTCAACAGCCTCATGAGGTAGGTACTTTTATCCCCATTTTACAGATGAGGAAACTGAGGCTCTAGGAGGCTATGTAAACTGCTCAGCTAGTGCTTGGCAGAGCTAGGATTTGAATCCCGATCTCCCTGATGCCAGAATCCAAGCCCTTGACCACTATTCCACACTACCTCTTTCGGTGAGGCAGTTCACTCTCACTAAATACTTGTTACTATTATTTTGTTGTCATCGTTGTTTTGTTGTTCTGGTTAAGCGTAACTCTGCTCATTGGACTTGTCACCTTTGTGTCGGTTTTACAGATGAGGAGACTGAGGTGCTGAGGGAATAAAAGTGATTAAAAGCCAGACTGCCTGGGTTTGAGCCTGGCTCTGACATTTACCAGCTTTGTGACCTTGGGCAACTTGCTTAACCTCTCTGTGCCTCCGTTTGCTCTTCTGTACAATGATAATGAAAATGCTATCTGCCTCATGATTTGTTAGGAGGATTAATGAAGTAATACACAGAAAGCACTGTGCCTGGCACATTGTAAGCACTCCCCACTACTGAATGATAATCATTACCTGATTACTAAAACAGCCGTTCCACTCCCATTACCCAGGCTGAGTTTTCTTCGTTTGCAAAAGTTCTCCACATAAGAGTCCCTGCCACCCACTTTATTTGACTCTTAAGCCCCGCCTACTGTCTATCCAGTCACACTATTTGCCATCTCCAGAGCATACCTGAAACTGTGTCCCATCTATGACTTTTGCACAAGCTGTTTTTCTGGAGACCCTCACCTGTGAACCTCAAGATCCTCCTGGGTCTCCTCCTGATCCCTTCTCCTTCTCACAGCAACATGAACCTTCACTAGCCACCCTTCCCTAACTCACTGGAGCAGGACCAGCAGCAACAGAAAGCCTTGGGTTGAGGATTAGAAACTCAGATTCCTGACTCCACACTCAAAGGGTTCCTTTAGTAGATCTGGGGTGAAGCCCAAAGTGTGCACACTCCTTGCATCAAAGGGCAGAGAACTGAATAGTGTTCTCTGCAGATCAACAATAAGTGTGGTTGTATGTATGTGTTTGAGAAAGATGTGAAAGGACATACTCCAAGCTGTCAATATCAGTTCTCTTTGGCAGAGAGGAATGCATAAAGAAAAACAAAAACAATAGCAGGAGGAGAGGAAGAGAAATAAAAGAAACCTCAAAAAAATTGTAACTCTACAATATCTACAAGGTAATAGATATTAACTAAACTTATTGTGGTAATCATTTCACAGTATATATGGACGTATATCAAATCATGTTGTACACCTTAAACTAATACGATGTTATAAGTCAACTATATCTCAATAAAATTGGGAAAAAATTAGTTTATGATGATGGTTGCCCAACTATGATAATATACTAAAACCATTGAACTGACACTTTAAATGGGTGCCATATGGCGTATGTATTATATCTCAGTAAAGATCTTAATAAAAAAGAAAAGGGGACTTCCCCGGTGGTCCAGTGGGTAAGACTCCATGCTCCCAATGCAGGGGGCCCAGGTTCGATCCCTGGTCGGGGAAATAGATCCCTCATGCGTGCTGCAACTAAGAAGTCCACATGGCACAACTAAAGA